GAGGTCACGCCTCGCGCGTGGGAAAAAACGAGAGAAAAGGTCTCGGTGTCTCGGTAAATATAGGCGCAGCCCGTCGTCGTCGTAGCCGCGGTAAAAATCGGGGGGGCATGTTTCCGAATAACAGTAAAAGAGCGGTTTATTTGCATTTCGCTTGTAAATCACCCGACGCTCTGCCTTCCTAACCAACTCGAACCTAACCGACCGCTTCGTTTTCGGATACTTGCATAGGTCTTGGACACCTTCTTGGAAGATGTCGCGTGTACAGCTTCGACAGCTAGAATTGAACGATCGTTGACGCTGTATAAATCTTTTCCCTTAATTTTACAATTACTCGAAAAGGGGAGTGAGAAAATTTGCTTCGAATTTGTATCGATACGAAGCGAAGGAATTGGAAAACGTGTAAAGCGGTTGTAAAATTATAAGCGTTTAACGGATACGGTACGAGAGTGGATCGAGAAGGAAGGGATCTCTCTCTCTCTCGTCTGGATCGGTGCGTCCGGTGGTTGTCCACAGGCCGAACGTTTCTTGCTGAAAGTTGGAACGCGAAGGGGCCACGCCGCTTCTTGGAGGCCGCTCGGCTCTCCTCGCTGCGCGCGCGCCACGCTCGCACCTGTCAACTAACTAGTCGAACCTGATTAAACTCTGCCCCGTGTGTCGTATCGCGTGCCCCGCGTACTCCCCTTCCTCCTTAACTCCACCTCCACTTTCTACTTCCCGTTACCCCCTTCCTTCGATACATTCAGTCATGTCCCCTTCCCTTCTCCTCCTCCTCCTCCTCCTTCCCTCCATTCGCGCTCTATCGTACCTTTCCTTTCTTTCCTTTTCTTCTTCTCTCGCTCTCGCCTCCTCCCCCTTTCTCTTTCCCTCCCTTTCTCTCTTCACTCGGCTTCGCTTCGAGACCGATGTTGGGCGCAAGCCACGTTCCGTAACACGGCGGAGAAGAGTTACAGGATCACCGATACCATATCCGACTCCGCTCCGCGATCTCCTTGGCCGACGTAGAAATACATCCGAGTTGGCCAAATACCTCCTCCCGATTCGTTACCTCCTCAAGATGCTTCGCTCGAGATTAGGAAGCGCTAGCTTACCTCCTTTCCCTTACGTGCAAGGAGGTAAAGGATCGCCTATCGATCCGTGCTTTCTTTCTTTCTCGCATCCTATATTTTTCTCCATATTCCAAGCTTTATCTTATTCCACGTGCGTTACGATCGAATAGTTTTAGATTTTAGTGCAACTTCTCTTTCTCTCTCTCTCTCTCTCTCTCTCTCTCTCTCTCTCTCTCTCTCTCTCTCNNGAACCACTTCTCTCTCACTTGTTAATTCCGTTTCGACCACTTTAGTCACGCGTTCTCTTCTCCTCGTACAATTTTGAAATGTGGCAGAATATAGAACGAACGTGTGTATGGATTAGCGGGGAAACCAGAGATCCCGTCGGTAAATCGTAGAACGTGATTCACGAATAGATCAGATATCGAACCAATCTCTGGATGTATGTTTCTAGTAATTTGATTTAATCGCAACGAATTCGGACGTTTGACGCGAATGAAAATGTAATTTATCGAAACTTTAATCGTTTTTAAAACCTGTCGAATGTTTATGGAATATAGACAAGTAAAAAATTAATTTATTTAGAGTCTCGAATTAAATCGGTATGGCAGGCACGAACATTTTCTCTCACCCGCTCTGCAATATCGTTTGATAAATGCTATCGCGAATAATGTTGGGAAATGAACAAAAAAGTTCTTTCGTGAGAGTGCTTATTCCATGCGATAACAGTTTTCAGATGTAAGATCCACGTTTACCATGTTATCATTGTCACTGTATTTCACGCGGTTATATACGTGCAAAGAGAAATAATCGTTGGAGAGAAGTCATTAACATACGTATCCTTTAATGTATTCGGTTATACCTTGAACGAGAATACGTTTGAGAATACGCTGTACGAACCTCTGTAGCAATAGGCATACGTAATTTATATTTATGTATCCATGCAATTATTCCGCTTTACGAAGAACTGAAATTGTGAAAAATTCCTTTCCTTTGTTCCTCGTTTATGGCCTTTTGTCTCTCTTTTTATTTCATTCGTGGTTAATATCCTTTCGGTAACGTATAAAAATCGTTTTAATTAACGTATAAAGAAACGTTTACCTAGCTCCGCTACAAAACTTCTTACTAATGAGGATACACCTATTTTGTAACCAAGTATTCAATTAGCACGTTATATTCATATAAATTCAAATTATTTTATTATCTCCTCGTTCCATGGAATTATCATACGCACGATGAAACAACTTTTTTTTTTTTTTTTTTTTTATATATATATATATATATATATATATATATATAATATTTCATCGATACAACGCGCTTAAAAGAGCTTCCATGTTTTTATAGATCCCGTAGATTTAAATATAAATAATTTTATACGAAGAAATAAAAGATTTTATTCTGTGTAATCGAATATCCTCGAATTTCCTCTCGAAAAACATTTGGAAAACATTTTAGAGTGGGGAAAAAAAAAAAAAAAAAAAAAAAAAAA